TCTAATTTTGATAGACTCTCTCAATGTATCTCAAATGAGAGACTTCTTCAACTTTATTGAAAAACGATTGTGATTAACTATGATTATTTCATATTTAGTTTTTTTTATAGCTGAGAGATTTTTGCGAAAGATCATCTAATGGGACTACTTTGATTATTTTTCACTCTCTCTTTTGTCTCTCTAAAACAAAAGCTCTCTAGATACAAACACTTTCCGATTGGATCGGCCGGCGGGTGCGGGCTTCTAAAGCCACAACGTCGGTTCAGTTTATGTTTATATCTAGTTTTTGTTTCTAGTTTTAACGGTTTAGATCTGAATTGGATATTTTTCCAACTTGTTTCAGATTCGGTTTCTGGATAGTCCGGATAATAAAGTTTCCGTTTTTAACCGAAATTTGTCCTAAATCCTTTGCAGATTTGGTTTCCATGATAGATCTGGGTTTGTATGCATATTTTGATCTGGTTTCCAAAAATATCAACAAAAGTTTTGATTTTTCAAAAATACCACAAAAATGAAATCAAATTTTAAACTTTTAAAACTAAACTCAAAACCTTATATTAATGCTTGTACTGTTGTACACCTAACATGAGGATTAATAAATTATGGTCTCTCATTTATAACATTTTCCTTAGGAATTGTAGCATTGTCTGAGCCAATGAACTATGAATATTTCACATGAATATACTACAGTTTTGCTGATACAAAATGAGCCATCTTATGATTCTGGTGATTCATTTGTCTCATTCCTTAACAAATCAAGACATGCTGATGAGTTTACGCAAACCATATATGCTCACTTAGGATTGGGATGACTCGAGCTCCAGGACCATAGTTTCATATTTTGTTTTAATCACACAATATATGAAATTAAACTTGGCTACATATTGAAGGGATTGATCTTCAATATATTATGTTTCGAAAACAGAGCATATTTTAGAGAATGGTATTCGTGAAAGCATATTTTAGAGGATGATCCAGACATTGTATGTGATGTATGGGACTAAAAAGGTAAAAGCATGAACTTACAGCAGTATTCGTATAGAAGCCTGTCCTTGTTTCTGCAAGATCATAAAAGTAGAAAAGTGAGTGCATGACATTGGTACGCACAATATTAATATTCCCTTAGATACAGTAAATAACAACATATATAGCAAGAAAAAATTTATGAAGCACCTTCACCAATGCCTTCTTTCTCCCAACGACTATCCAAATAGAGAAGTTTGTTTAATCTTGTCGTAGTATCTTAATCCACAAGTAAACTCCTCATGTGAGTGGTAAAATCTTCAAATAATGGTGATGAGGCCACTATATAAAGCAGAAGATCATACTAAAACCCAAACCCAAAAAACAAATTGTTGATTCAATCAAAATAAGCAAAACTGATTGAATACGAAACATATTCACAACTCCATGGATCTCCGAAAACACATATGATAAGAGCACCATTTAAACAAACAGGAACAAAATCATACTTTTCTGAAACGATGGAACATTTTTTTAATTTTTAAATAAAAAATCACACTTATCGGTGAAAAATTTACCGAAGTAGAAGCTCCTTCCCTAAGAAACTCTCCTTTTAATCTTTGTCAATAAAACAAGAATAATGGAACATTTACAGAGTCTCTGATTTTCTCATAATAATCATCATGCTCGTCTCTCTCTCTGCTTTTAACAATCTCCAGTCACGGGTAAGAAATCAAAATTCACCAATCTGATAACCATAACAACCACACCAAGAACCAAAAAAGGCCATCTCCAACTATATCTCAACATCGCCGCAGAGATTAACGAACATGTGATGTTCCCAACCGAAGTGTGTGCGTTCCATATTCCCATGATCAATCCTCTGTTCTTCTTGTTAACCAGTTTCCAACCACAACAACAACCGAAGGCCAACCAGAGGATTGAAACAATCCAGCAAGCATTTGCATAATCAAAAAATAGTAAAAGCTATGAATATTTACACAATAACCAACTCCAAACAGAGAAGTAAACAATTAGGTACCGATTAGTCCAACCGTCAAGAATATCCTTAATTCATCGATATTGTTGGCATCGGGTCCATCATAAAGAGATTTGACCCAGCAACCCGGGATCCAGTTCCAGAGATAGCCAAATTTCACTAAAGAGTCCAGCTCGCATAGTGGACTAGAAAGAGTCCAACTCGCATAGTGGACCGATTAACTAGCCAAGCCTAGAACAAGTCCGCGCCTTACCTGCGAGGTCCCGAACATGGACTGCGAGTTGATAGGTATAATTGGGCTCTAGATGGGAGAAGCCCGCGAGGTCCACGAGGTGCGAGATGGAGAGATGAAGGCCATTATACATTCAAATCTTGTAACGTCTAAGTCAAAAGGGAGTTAAAGGAATTGAATAAGATTGTAATGAGAGAACGCGATTCTCGCACTATGTAATGAGTATATATACCAAATGAGTCTAGGGAGGAAGGGGATGGAAAAAAACTCTCTAACAATATACGCAATAAACTTGTTCTTTTTACTTAGCCATTTTTACGTTACTTTTCATTACTCCAACTAGTTCATCTCGCGGACCAGGAAACTCGTTAACTCGTTCTTTCCAGATTAACAAATCTCATCTAGCGATCTCGCTCTGATTACTTTTTGTCTCTGATTCTTTATATTTTGGTGTGATCTGAATCAAACTAGATTCAGGACTCACATTTTGGCGCCGTCTAAGGGGACCGAAGTAGTTAACTTGTACCAGAGCCCGAGATCACCATCTTCTTCCATGATGTCGGACCAGGTTGATCAAGCTACCATGTTGTCCGAGATCAAGACGATGTTTTCCGAGCTGAAGTCTGCCTCAGAGCAGCAAAATAACGCGAGCGATGCGCTCATAGCTCGTTTCGATTCCCATGAAGAGCGAGTTAACGCTCAACTAACTAGTTTGACTGCTGGACAGACCGATTTGGAGATGTGCGTTAACGCATCGAATGCTCAGCGAGATGGCGGAGACTCACGGGTTGACCCATCTCGTCAGGTTGAAACTTTGCCCGTTAACGAACCTGCCTCTATGGCCAAAACCAGGAATCCTACTGAGACTGAGGATCCGGGATCTGGCAACCAGGATACAACTGGACCTAACCGAGAAACGGATCCCCGAACTAGTTCGGATCCCGTGGTTACTCCACGAGAACTTCCTCCTCCTTCCGAGTTTCAGGGAAAGAGTGGTCAGGATAACCAAATTCGTAGTGAGTCGGAAAATGATCGCGCTCACAAACTTCACACTCCTAGTTGTGGTAGGCGGCATACCTTATCTGAAGGAATTCCAATTGGCCAAGGTGGATCCGAGGTCGAGAACTTGCGAAAGGACCTTGAGCGAACCAACGCCGAGCTCCTAGTTGTAACCT